CCCAGAGAGAGAATTCTCCAGTCCCTCCAGGTTCCCTCCAGTCCCTCCAGTCCCCTCCAGTCCCCTCCAGTCCCCTCCAGTCCCCTCCAGTCCCCTCCAGTCCCCTCCAGTCCCCTCCAGTCCCCTCCGTGACACAGCTGTTGCTGCTGGTGCTGATACTAGATCTTGAATGTTCGGACTAGATTACAACAAAATAATTCATATTAAAGACAATTAAAAGAAGCATCTCACCAATCCACGGCTTTTTGTTACAACGTAGAATTGCCTTGTTTTTCCAAATGCAAGTTCAAGCCAAATGTAAATTTTTAATCCATAAAAAATGTGAACAACTCTGAAGCCAACACTTGGTAATATCTAGGGAAAAGGTTTATATCAAGCACTAAAAAGAACAAATTCCCAACGAGTTCCTTAATAGACAGACATGTCAGAAAGAAAGAAACAGTATTTTGATGCTACAATCTCTAATTAGAGCCGCGATCAACGGTGCCTATGAAACACTGGCAAGGTAAATCAAATGATAATTTTATCCACCGCCATAAAACATATTTTTAGAAATATTAAACTTGTAACAAATAATCAGAAAAAGGACAATGAAATGCCTCTAAATGTGCATAATTAGTGAGATGTATTTCAATTTTTCTCAATAATTGCTGGTCTCTGTTTGATTAGAGCGTCACGCTAAAGAACTCTTTCCCGGTCCCATTGTCAGTGTATTATGTCTTTGTCTTTGAAAACCAATTTTCTTAATTTTTGACTTGTGGAAAAGCAGAAGCGGAAGCTGAGGCTTTTTATCTCATTATGTTTTAGCTTTAATTTACATTCGATTAATATTACGAGAAGTGGCGTGTTTCTTGATGTTATCTCGGTTGGGAGCCCAGATAGGCCGTTTAAGGTTCCGGACCCGGTTTGCACTGAAAATGTCTTCAAACACATACAAGATAGAAGCTTTGGCTTGTAGCAGTTTTTGCCATGACAAAAGTAACACAAGCCTTCTTTGGCATATCCTTTCTTTCCTAAGATATTTACATTTCGAGAGTTCATTAAAGTTTAGCCAGAAAAGACGAGAAAAATGCTGACGTTGACAAAAGAGAAAAGCGGTCTCAGAGCTTTGTTTGAAAATAATTGAATAACCTGAGGATTGTGGTTTCATTTAAAACTTTTTTACTCTGTCCTTCACAAATTTACCACAGCCTAACTAGAGAACACGAGGACTTGTTTACTAAAACTTTAAGCATGGGAGCAAAAGGTATACCGAACTAAAACAGTCGTTTTGATGTACGCAATCAGGGCAAGCTTAGGCCAATTCAGCCAGCTTTATTTCACTTCTCGGTGTGGCAAAACAAATAAAAAACTATGCGATCCATGCAAAAATCCTTATTGGTCATGCATGATATGTGCTTAAAGTTGCTGTGTTAACAACTGTAAAATATGGGCGTCCCTTTGAAAAATAATGATGAAAAATAGAAAACATCCTAGACAAAATGGCAGACATATACTTCTTCGTTTCAGGTGAGTTATTTTCCTATCCAATTATTCATTCATCGATTAAGTAATTGAACGCAAAATGTTTTCTTAAGTTTGATTAATGTCGTATAAATACACTTAGTGAGCAAAAGTAATGCACAGGCTGAAACAGAAATGGCAGCACAGCAGCAAAAAATTTTATCGAACCAAAATTCAAGTTGCCATAGCAAGTTTCATAAAAGTTATAAGATGACTTTGTAACTGGAATATGCTGAAAAATTTATCAAGGTTTGATGGTGAAAATAGTAAATGCAAGAATGTTATTGATTTTTGCCCATTTTTAAACAATATCGACATGTCGTAAAAACACAAAAATTGAGCCATGATGATTGAAGCTCCTGTGAAACATTTGCAATAAAACATTTCATCTTTGCACCAATCCACGATATCTTGTTACAATGAACTCGTGGGCACTTACTTTATGCTTGGGTGTCTAGAACTGCTCATTTTCCTTACTTTTATTGGAGAATCTGCTAAATGTTTTAGTCGGAAATTTTTGGAGCCGCAATGGGCCTAATCGCAGCGGCAGCTTCGTGATATGTTGCAGCAAAACTCAATCAATAAAATGTGTCACAAATCGTAACGTCCATCTTTTCCAGCCGATTGCAATTTTGTAAAGAGAACAAATAATGCTGAAGATTGTGGAAACAACATTTCATCCTCTCATTAAATGAAAATACGAAAATTCCCGCTATAAACAGGCTTATTTGTGTACCTCAATAGCTGTAAAAGAGTGGACATAATAAAATGGCTTAAAATGTGCCACTTTCCACCAAATACAAGGCCATCTATCATCAAATTGGTACTTCAACACCTAAATGTGATCTTGTAAATGTTTTTCTGAACTTATCATGTCGCGATTAACAGAACCTGTTCCTAAACTTTTTTGTAAAGCTTTAGCAAGTCTCACAAAGGTTTCAAAGCGTGAAGACTGTCCAATAAAAAGTTAAAGAATTTTTAATTTTTACAAAGTAGCTTTCTTCAATTTTTCAATTAAAAGTGTTGTCAATGGTTTGAAGTTTGGTTTGATTAGATTTTAACCATAAAAAGACGCCTAATTATTCCACAAAAGTGGTTTGAATTTCGATCGCTTTGTTGTTGACAACGCGGTCGCCATTACTGAATTGCCAAACCTGTGCAATAATTTTGCTCAAAGCTTAGCCCCAACCTTCCAATCTTTTCGCGATAATTTACATACTCGATCAAGGCGGCCTGACCGTTCAATGTAAGCAAGAAGATTAAAGAGTTAAAAGTTGAACAAATACTCTCATAATCTTACCATGTATTTCCAGATGGTCGGTCCAAATGAGGCATAACTAAGACTTACGACAATATACAGCGTCAATATTTCGTAGAAGTCAATGCTTGAAATGAAAAATGCAGAATGTGAGCGTGATGGTTATAATGTAAGAGAAAATCATTTGATTTTAGCACAATTGAAAAGAAGTACAAATTTTTTAAAACTGTTCAAAATAGAGAGGCCTTGTCATCAAAATATTTTTCTCAAAGTGGATGATGCTGCAGGAAAATCAATGACACTTTTACAAATGTCAATGACAAAATCAATCAATATTTTCTTCAATGACATTGTTTCTTTCTTTTGCAAAACAATTTTGTTGGAATGTGTTTGCAAAGTGGTCTTACGAGAAGATGCGAGGCTGAATTTGTGCCACACTAGTGTTAATATAGAATGATATACCTAGAAACAATTAATGAGTCTATGATTCAAACTAAAGAAAATCAACCTTTTTTAGATTTCTGAGTACATCTTTAGAAAGAGAGAGCATGTAAGAAATTGTCTGGTACGATGTACTCCTTAATAGTTGTTGTTGTTGTAGTCACTTAAGTACACGTTGAAGTATGTGTTTAAATTTGAATTGAATGAGATTAGATAGGACAAAGAATTAGAACGGATCGAAATTGGAATCTAAACTAGAATTTGCGTTATGATTGATCGAAGTTATACAGTCCTTTATTGGAATTAGAATTGGAGCCTAAACAACATATCGTTATCTTTCTTAACCTGTATCTGTAGCACCGAACTTGAGCCACCAGCAAAAGCGATTTCGCACAGAGCATGAAATTAGGGAGAGGTTCGTATAATTTTATCTTTTAGGGAAATTTTTTGCTTACTGATTTTGAATTTTTACCACATTATCTGAATTTTCCACGAAAACCTAAGAATGATATCAGCAGATTTTAGGAGACTTGCACATAAAAAAATAATTTGCTTAAATAATTTAAGAGAACAGGTTATTGGAGACGGGATAACAGGAAGTAGAATGCAGCTCTAAACCCTATGAAAAGTTGGCGAGAAGGATTTTCAAAATTTTGGAACCATTAGCCAAAAAAGAGACTTTGAAAAATTAGCAACTAGCATGATACCTACATAAAATAAGCAATCTTGTCCCTTTTCTAAAAATAATAGATAAACAAACTACAAATAAATTAAGAGAAGAACTAAACGAAGAGAGAGCAAAGGTGGAGAGGGCGAAGAAGATAAGGAGTGGAGCGTAGTAGCGTCAAAGTTATCAAAGAAAAGAATATATTACCTTTCAATCCTAGTATGTCCACAGACGTAAATGGTATATGGCTCCGAAACATAATTAACAACCATGTCCCCTAATATCCAGGCCACTGTTCCAAGTGGGTTGTCTGTTACCCCTAAGAAACACGCTAAAGCAACGGATGCTATCATCAAGGCAAATGCGTCGCCCCCGTGATCTAGAACTTCACCAAATGGACTACACAAGCCTCTGAGCCGTGCAACCTTTCCATCGATGCTGTCACAGGACATCCACATAAGGAATCCGAACGCACAGAAGTACCCACTGGCTTGCAAATGCTAAAATAAATATTCGATTTCTAATGAGGATGTGTACGTATAATATGATTCATTTAAAAGTTTACGAAGATTTAGCCGTTTTAGTTAAATTTTAGCATCGTTTTTAGCATCGTATACTCATTCGCAAAGTTTTAGTGAGTCAAAAATAACTGTAAATAAAAGGTAGAAGACAATAAAATCTAGAACTTGAAGCACACCTCTGCAACAGAGGACAAAACCATTGTGCCCCAATAAAAAATTGCATGTCACGCCCGTTGGTTGCAAACATCACAGGCAAGTTTAGATTCAATTTGGCTTACCTGATGGTCTCCAATGTAACTGAAATATGCAACGAAGGAACACGAAAGAACAACCGACACGAGGCCAATAATTGTCACCAGATTCGCAGTGACCCTGTGATGAATCTCCTTTGCCATCCATAAGTACAAAACATCTAAAAAATCCATTATAGATGTCCCCTCTACTGAGTACCGATGCTTTTTTACAGCTGCTATTTGCTTCTCGCTCAGGATCGCCATGTCTCTAGTGGTCCTTTCCAGATCCCTAAAACAGAGACAACAAGTAAAACACATGAATCTGTATTACGATGGTGTGTGTAAGAGACGTTACATCTTAAAGAGCGAGAGGCAAAGACAACGCACTCAATACATTTTGTGCATTCTTTAATTGCACTAAAAATTCCCTCTCTAATTAATCACCAACTCTTAAATATACGTTATCACGTGATGTAACATTGATTAATAGCTAACACGTGATATGATATGGTGCATGCACGTGTTGCGGGGGTATAAGAGGTACAATTACTGGATTCATTTTCATTTCCATTTAGTCATTCGAGTCTTAACCATCAGATTAGTATTGGCAATTTAAAAATCAATAAACTTTTGGAAACAGCCATTCGAAATCATTATGATTAACAGCATCCTGGATGATTCACGTGTCCAAATCAAAATCTGAGTTCAGTTGGTTGTAAATACATCAATCAGCAATCTATTCTTGTCACATCAGATACGGAAACAATTTACTATTTAATTCATACCTTGATTTATATACAATGCCTGCCTTAGGTATTAGAATACTGTACCAAAATTTCAATATATCACACTGCACGAGAGACTTCAGTGGCCCTGGGAAAGGGCGTAGAAGGTATCCTGCAAGCAAGCGACATAACCAAGGGTGGATTCAGAGCAAATTTGAAGGAGGGGCAGTTGGTAGGGGGGGGGGGCGCTGTAAAATTGTCAGAAATTGGTGACGAGTTTACGCTGTATATTACGCTGTAACAATTTCAGTCCCTAACTACTGACAGAAGGGTCTCTGTTCACTTTTTCACAATAATTGTTGTATACGTGCTAACAGAGTCATAGGGTGCCAATAATAATTTTCTACAAGAAATTTTAGCACATTACAACTGTTTCAAAAAGATTATAATCATACTACAGGGTGAGAAAAAATTATGTGCCGAAGGAGAAAGAATAGGGAGCAAGCGCCTTCTTTTAGCGACGCCCCTGGGGGGGCAATGCGAAGTTAAGGTCGGCTTGTTAACTGAGCGAAGCGGAGGAGCCCGTAGCCTGCGTGCAAACTTTACTTTCCATTGCGAAGGAGAGCCAGTTCTCCTTCGCAACGGAAAGTAAAATCTGCACGCAGGCTAAGGAGCTCACTGCTTGTTATTTGAAAGCAAAGATTAAAGTAACGATATTGAATAACTTAAGCAAAGTAATGGAAGAATCTTCAAAATTTAATATCTCGCAATTTATACAGAGTTTGGTACAGACCTATCATCTTGCAACGGATAAATAATTACAGAAATTTAATGAGCCTTTGTAATCTTCTCTCATTGGGGACTAGAAAGGCAAACATCTTAAAAGAAGTCTTGTTTTATATTACTTTTTACAGAATAAATCGAAAAGTTAACTGTAAAAGGGAACTACGCCATAATGATAGGTGCAACAGAGCTTTATCATTTCGTCTACTTGAAAGAGAGAGTTGGCTCCAAAAATAGAAAGTCATCAAACTGCAGTGACATCAATGGTTACCGTTCAAAATGAACATAGCCTTTTCGAAGGGAAATTAGCTTTCCCTTCGAAGTTGGTTCTGAAAACAAGCATTCAACGCAGGCTGCTCGATATAGCATTGTGTAGACTGGTGCACAGTTGACATTGGCTTTTACCATAAATGCACAGACTTTGTTGAGACCGACTTTTTCGACAGTCATGTAGACAAAAACATGTTATTTCTAAAAATTTTGGACGGGCATAGAGGGGCAAAAAATTCTAGTTGGACGGGCAATGCCCTCTCCGCCTCTTCCCCCCTTGGCTTCGTGCCTGTTCAACCCGCCTCCGTCTGTGAGTAGCATGTACCTGGATCCAACCTACTATCACTGCCAACATTACTTGGAACACCTAACACTTTGCACTGTGCTTTTCTATTTTTCATTTGTTTTCTTGAATACTACCACTTCCGCCCCCCTTTCCCCCCAAAACAATGTTGAAAGTATAGAAAAATATCAAGCAATCCACAAGAAAAAGCGTACTCCATAACCCCTTTCTTTTTTCTAAAGTAAATCAACATTGTTCCTAGGGGGAGAGGGGGATGGCTGAATTTGCTTTTGAAAACCTACGTTGGTGTTCCAAGACTTTTGGCAGTAATTGTAGGTAACTTTGCATTAGTACTACAAAGAAAAGAAACTTACCTGAGTATGAATTTACTCGGTTGTATAATGTGAACAGGGCTTTACTTGCTCAAGGACATACAGCGAATGCGTACAAATTCTAAATAAGCATATAAGTTGGTAAATACAATAGGGAGGAAAATCTTTTCTCCTTTAACAAAAAAACACAACAAAGCAATTTTCTGTATTTTGAAGCGAACGATCGTTTCCTATGAGAAATTTTGGCAATTATATCTCTATGAAATATCGACTTTCCTTGTCAAGCTACCTTCTTTTCTCATTGTAATATTTTATTTAATTTCTTACTTCAGCAAACAGCAGCGAGAAAAAACACCAACAAAAGCATCCCATTAATTAAAATAAAAAAGCTCCCTCAGAAGACGTTGCCACATATATCTGTTTGTTATATATCTGTTTCTTGTTTTAAAGCCTGCCCCCCCCTCAGGTATGGTTCTTGTTCGAGTTTCCCCCCCCCTAGCCGACACCTACAGATACGTGGTTGCCCACACGTATCCCAGGCTGGAGCCGCCACTGGCAACCATGGTGGCGTCTCAGGTAGTGGTCCAGCAGAATGGTGAAATAATTGTGGGTTTTGAGGTAAAATCAAGCAATTTAGCACATTTGTAGAACTTGACATGCTTATTTTTTTAAAGCTCAGACCTACTTTGAAACTCATTTTATGACGTCACAATGACGTCACAGTCAGAAGGTTTCATGATCAAATTTTTGCTAGATTACGAGGTTTAAAGCCAAAGTCATTGCAACTAATGTTTCGAGAGATTGTGACATATATTTTTGCCGGCACTTTTCATTCAATTTTGCCATCAAACTCTTGCTTGTTATCATTCAGCATGTATCTTCGTACTATTAAACTTGCTTTAGCAAGAATTACAGCTTGATGGACATAATATATGTCACACGCAACTGCTGGTGCTGAGCCAATATCGGAATTGAAAAAAGGAATAGATCTCTACCTTTTGAATACGATGTCAGATCATCAGTACTAGCTGAAATTATATTCTAAAGTTCTAAAAGTACACGTCCGTTTTTTGCTACTCCGAGTTGTTAACTAAGCATTTTGACCAATCCAGTACATTTTGACCAGATTGGCCGACTGGAAAAGTTGAATTTCATTATCTGAATCAACGTAGGTTTCTTCAATAGAAGCAGCCAATTTAGCAAGTGCAATTCCATGAGACTTCGCTTTATCTTGCCTGGGAGTGGAATGGAAGAGTCCTCTTCGTTACAACCAATTTCTCTTTCTAATTTAAAGTTATTGAGCTTCTACTTGCAGCTTATGAGGAATTTTGCCTCGTGCTGTTTGAATGTTCCTTTGATGCCATTACCACAGTTGAAAGCGGATAGATCCAAATCAGCTGGCATGCATCCTAACTCGCCAAACTTCAGAATGTTTTTAGCCAGTATCCCATACATCAAATCATATTCGGATCCTTTTCTCGATAAGGTCGCTGGACATTGCAGTTTCTCTTTAGGTGTAGTGCTATCAGAATACTAAGGGGTCTCTTGCACAAAATGTTGCAAAAAACAATAGCAAAAGGCGAAATTTGCAAATTTTCGGCATTAAAAACTAAGGACGGCTCAGCCGGCAGCCCCCCCCCCCCCTAAGCCCCCTACAACTACATCCCTGAGTTTCTCCCAGGTATCTTTCTGGCAAATGGCACATTTTTCATAGTCAATGATAATAGATTTTTTGGTCTCAAAGATTTTTCATAATCGAATATTATGACCTTCTTCGACATCACAATTCATTGACATACATAATGCAGCTGTTCCAGAAAGATAGTAAAATTCCTTACACACATAATCGTGGCATCTTTCACGTAGATAGAACCAACGCTCAACAGCTTTTTGAATCACATATAGAAAGCATCTTTTCAATTGAGAATCTTTTCTGTTAGGAAATGATTCTATGATAACACAAAGCATCATGTATCTCTAAATCAAAACTTCTTAAAAAAGGTAATACATTGGCTTCTAATTCATCAGATTCTCGACGTTCTTAAAGCAATAGAGATATGTTTTTTTCTAAACGGTTGACATGGCTAAAATGAAAGGCAAGTGCGCTTTGCGAAAAAGCGCGCAAGAAGTTGAGACAAGATAATGCTTGGAAGAAAATTTTGTAACAATTTACAGTCGTGAAAAGTTTCTAAACGTGATTTTTAACAATAGATAGATTCATTCGTGAATGGTAAATTCATTTAGCTATGATAATACCAAAGTGCAAAGATTTCTTCATTTAGCACATGGAAAAATTGAATGATGTTGTGATGACGTCATAATGACGTCATAATGGCGTCATGGAATGAGTTTTTGAGATGGGTCTGAGTTTTAAAATAATCATCATGTAAAGTTCTATAAGTGTGCCAAAATACATGCTTTTTCCTCAAAACCCATAATTCTACAATGCGAGATGTCAGGGACTTTCACAGTAAAGGCTGATTTCCACTAGGCGAATTTTTTCGCGCGAATCGAATTTTTTCCAGTGTGAGCATGCGCGGTATCATGTTCTCAAATTTCGCAGCGAAAAAATTCGATTGGCAGAAAGTAGACCACGGTCCTGCTCTATCGCTACGAAAATTTATTCGATTCGCGCGAAAGAATTCGCCTAGTGGAAATCGGCCTTAAGTATGAAGAAACAGAGACAAGGTAAAAGTGCATTTTAAAAATCTTTCAAACGAAGGCAAAGGTTACGTTTTTTTCTCTCTCCCACCTCCCTTACACTAACATGAAATGCTTCTATTTGATTAAAATAAATCAAAAAAGTTTGTCGGAAAATTGTTAATTCTAGCCCCCTCTAGAATTCATCTGGTACGACGCCCCTGGCCCTCAACTATGTCCAACTTGTATGGTATTATCAATTATATTTTAAGAAGAAATTAAGAACAATCCAGCCTCAGATTTTTGAAAAAATTCAGAACAATCAGCCTGAACTCAAATTTACTGGTTCTTATAAGAAAAAGAATGCATTTGTACTCCCATAAGGCATAATCGGTTGCATTTCAGATGCAAGCAAATAAAGAAAGGCAAAGAGGATTAGATTAGTGAGAAGAAAACAGAGATTAATGATTTACAGAATAGTTTATTACTTAGTAAAATGAAACTTTGTTTTCTGTAGACACTGGAAAGGGCAACACAAATTGTCCTGTATTTCCATTTCGAGAATGATATGCGCTACACGCTACTAATACATATTAGAAAGACCTAAAGATGCATGTTACTACCTTCCCACAAGAAAGCGTCTGTTCTTAAGGTAGGCGTTTGATAAAACAAAAAATTGATGTTACAAACTTGTGTAGGCTGCTGCAGGGTTTATAAGCTCAGTTCTGCTGCAGTTCAACAAGATCTTATCTCGTATGTTGCTTGTATTATTGTCAGAAATCAGAGAAATCAAATCAGCAACTGGATTCAGTTTTAACTTCTAGATTTAAAGTCTTCATAGTTCATTGACCTGTTAGTAAACAAAACGTCCTGTTAGTAAACGCTTGTCTCTTCAAAATGGTCTACATAAGAAATTATAGAAAGCAATAATCATTTTAGAAAACCGGGTGTGACCAAGAAATGGGTGTGGTCTAAAGGGTGTGGTCAACCCTCTATCTCATTTCGGCGGTAGTCAGATTTTTGGCTGGATCCGCCACTGAACAGCCCCCACATCTCTGGTCATGACGCTCCTGGTTATCCAGAACAGTTAGGTACATAAAAATGCTGTTCTTTTTTAAGGCTTCAATCATGTACAATTCTTTTCCAGCTTTTCATTATCTAAAGTTTTATTCAACAGCATCATTTTCGGGTGAATTTATATTCATCTTTATGGTACCAGTTTCTAAACTTTAAATGAAAATATTCAGGTTCCAAACTCTTTTATGTCTTCCATTTACTCTTTACTATTTACCAAATATCTTCCTGTCTTTTTTTTAGATGACTGAATCACAGTGTTAATGATATAAAATTTAACCCCTTTAAAGATAGTAGCAATATTTATCATGGCACTAGGATCTTTTAAAAAAGGTTAATGTTGTAATATATGTTTAGAATAAATATCGTTGCTCTTTTGTACTTAATATTATTATGCTGTCCGTAGTCGATATTGGTTTTAAAGCACGCTTAGCTGCATATTGTTGTGTTAAAGTAATTGATTGATGGATCTATTGTTTAGCTCAGTTGGAGTTAGGAGAGGCGTGCTCAAGTTGGAGAGTAGTTGGTGATCGAGTAGTTTTGAAGTGAAGTTTTCAAGTTGTTTAAAGTTGTCAAGATCGTTCGTTGTCAAGAATGGAATTTATTATAATAATAACTTGTAAATAGTATATATATATATATCGTGTTTATTTCATTGTGGATTTTGCTACCATACACCGACCAGCCTTAAAAAGCACAACATTAACATCAAGCTTAAATCCGTTAAAAGGATGCTTGATGCTAATAAGCTATCTATAAATAGATAAACCCATTTATATAATCTCCCATTTGTCTACAAACTAAAATCAAATCGGTATAAAGACATCACCGGATATAGATATGCTGAATTTCCAGGACTTCTTCTCGACGGAAACTTTGGAAGTATCAACATAGCGAGCTTTCTCAAATCTTCTCGTCTTGTTCATTCATATGTGTCAATAATGCTTTGTTTATTTCATTTCTACTTGAAGATTTTTCAGCTTGGACTATAAGCATACTTTTTTTAATCCGCGAGAAATACAATTATCTTTCTTTCGTAAGTGTTTTTTTAAAAGCAAGCAGATCATGCAGTGGCATCGTCAAATCGAAAAAATGGGGTGGACGAAAACAAATTTTTTTCGGCCACGCCCTTCAGACTCTTGGAAGAGCCTTTTTTAGTATTTTTTAATCTATTTCGAAATCTTTGGCAAGCAACTTTCTCAAGCAGCTTCTTTCGTAACAGCAGCTTTCTTGCCAGTGCGAATATTGAAATCAATTTGATCAGCCCAACTACAACCCCTCCCCCCCAAAGATTTTTCAAGGGATTTCGAAAAAGTAGAAAATCGTATTGTGGGGAAACTGGGTTGGACATGTCCCCGTGACGACGCCACTGAGATCATGTTGGTATATTTCAACTTATAGAAATAGTCATCAGTATTTCCTCCAGTCTTTTCCATGTCTGGGTGAAAAATATAGCATGATAACAAGTAGAAATTACAAATTCTCTTGCAAAATATTTTTCCTGCAAAAGATTCTCCTTCAAATACTTTTTAACAAATTTTTTCAAACACGCAAACCTTAATCTTCTGCCACGACTCAATTTTATGAATAATACTTGAAAACGAGATAAACAATTGCTTTTTTTCTTCAAGCTGTCGAGCGGGATACGCTATCCTGTTTAAAATACTTTGCCCTTTAGTACTTTGTTTTAGCGTTATTTCTTATTATCTAATGCACTTAAGACTGTAAATTCGTTGATGTGACTTATTGACTTTGACGTTTATGTTGATGTGATTTATTTACGGTTGGCCATAATTTATTTCGGGTATCTAGCATTAAGCTAATTTGAGCGAAATATTTACGATGAATGTGATTAAAAAGTAGTTATTCATAAAAACCCTAAATGTACAATATATGTTTTGCACAATCTACAGTTGCACTTTACGTTTCCCCACTCTAGTTATTGGGACTCTTAAATTTCAGTAGGCAGCTTTTGCCAAATTTGTTGGCCAATGAATCTAATGGTCTCTGTACCATATGTTGTTGCTCTTCTCTGTACCTCTCTGTACCAGTGTTGTTCTTGCACTGAGAAAAATAATGTTGCTGTTTGCTCGAAATTCATATTTTAAGTTTCTAGTAACAAAAACATCCACCATTAATGCTGGATTCAGGTTATTGACAGCTTTATATATCTAGGCCAAGAGATATGTACCCTTTTTATAAAACCATATGACAATTGCATCATCCTTTTTAAAATACCATATGACAGTAGCACCATTCCTCAAATTCTTTAAAAACATTGAAAAGGACAAAGAGCTACAAAGTATATTGTCGCAAATCCCTATTCTAGGCGTAAAAGGGAGTAAAAGTTTTGGAGATTGGTTAACTCACATTGTATTCTTTGTCATGCCTTTTAGTGCAAACCGTCTCCATTCAACACCCCTACTTTACATCATATTGTATCCGACACAAAGGTTGCCTTTTCTAAAAGAGAGCGATATAACTACTTTAACTTGTTATTTCTATGCAATGTATTGTATATACCTGTAAGGCTACACTATTTGTTAATTCAAGTGAGAGCAAATTTGAGATAAGGGCTCAAGCAAGGGGGGAGGGGGGATTGAAAGAATCATCTGAAGGTTGAAATAAATTAGCTCATTTTCAAAGCAGCCTCTTTTGAATTTTCAATTCATTATGAGAATCGAACATTTCTAAAAAATCGATGTTTACAGCGAATACAAAAGCATTTTGAAATTTCTTTTTTATTCATTTACCTTCATTTCTCCAAAATATGTTCAATTTATCATGGATTAGAATCAGCATATTACGATTAGGGGCTTATTCAATGGCAGGGGCCAGGCCCTGGGGCAAAACAGAAATACGAAGCCCCCTGCGAGCGAAGGGAGCAAAAATTTACGTGACCACGCCGATAAGATAAGCTTAAGTTTTTTTCAGGCATAACAAACTCTGTTTTAAAATGGAATACATTAATTGATAAGACACCATTGATTCGCCTTTAGTTGATATCTGTTTCCACTTACGATCTCTTGTTACGTGCGTATTCAAGTTTTTATTGTTATCTGCTCTACAAGAAAAGTGCGCAATGCTGTCGAGTCTTTCATAGCGTTTCTGTTCCCTTGGTTGATATAGGGGTATTTATGGGCTCAACAAAGCGTAGGTTTAACTCTGCTTGGTAAAGCATTAATACCAGAGTGCGAATTTTTAGAAAGTTTTAAGAAGCACAAGCAATTGAACAGGTTGTAACTAAAAATCAAAAGCATAAAATACTTAAAAAGTGTTTGTAAAGTTTGGGTTTTATTTTGCAAAATCAGATTGTTAGATTTTCCATAACCCAACTTTTAACTCTAGGAAGTCAACCAATTCAATCCTTCTCTCTTATAGCCACGCCCAATTTACCCACTGTCACCCAAAACATCTAGATCTCTTTTTACAGAATTAAGTCATCACGCGTTTTCCCCTTCCTCCAAGATTTTGATATGATCATTGTCTTTGGCGGTTTCTTTGTCAATGTCTTGTTCGTGCGGATCCGGAATTTTTTGACTGTCGCACTATAGGGCGTGGTCAGAAACTTTTTAGAGACCGCGCCCTTACCTTTCTTGAAAAATCACAATTTCTAAAATATTTCGTGTACATAAATGTCTTATTTCCACCCAAAAAATCAGCAACAATGTTTACAGACAATTTATTACTAAAAGAGACAAGCAAATCTCTAATCCTTTTAATGTTTGATATAATGTTCCCCTCGGTTCTGTAATAACTGCAAAATATCAAATTTTAAGACTCGTACCCCTAAAACTATTGGATGCCATGGTCCTAATCGCATGTAGGTTTCTAAGTATCCTCTCCCTTTGGAAAAAACACCTCAAGCAGCAGCTCAACATCAATTCGACTTACTGTTGTAAAAAAGGAGTGTATTCGGGATATGTTTCTAAGATTATAGCATTAATTTCTTTCAGTAAAGATTTCTTTTATGAAACTTAGGTTGACATTTATATATAGTTTTATACATTTCTGTAAGAAGAAACTGCATATTTTTATCATGGATAGATGTTGAGTTGTCTTTTTCAACAAATGTTCTAAAGTTTGATTCATAGTCATCATAGGCAAGACCCAAAGATATTTCAGGAATTCGATTTATTCCGTTGTTTATCTGTCGATCACAGAACATCCAAATCAAAGGACAGTAGCTAAATTGTGATAAAATGAAGACGTGCATGGTCTGTTTTACTTATTTATCATAAATGTACACTCTTTTTTTTATAAGAACCAGCAAATTTAGGTTCAGGCTGACTGTTCTTAATATTTTCGAAAATCTGAGGCTGGATTCTTCTTAAATTGTTCTTAAATTAAGAGGGTGTACGCAGTGCGATTGCTAGCTTTTTCGCTCTAAGAAGGTGTTCAGGCCTCATTTGACAACAGAGTGAGTGAGACAGCCTTAATTTTCTGACAAATTTGAATATTCACTGAAAAAGCACTCACACATCGCTAAAAAACCTCGATTTTGAGAAAAAACGTTGTTCAAAATTGCATTTTGCAGAAGCTCAGCCTCAGCTTGTTTTTAATTTGTTCTTAACTTTTGACCAGTTTTGAGGCTCGTGTTCTTATAAAATTGTTCTTATAAAAAAAAGATTGTAGTTGGAAATTCTGGATAAGGCATGTAGCTTTTGGTTGGCCTTTTTGCATATCGATTGTACGTGTCCTTTGAACGACAAATTATTAGCAATACCTAATTCCATCGCGGGGGCCCCTTAGTTATGATAAAAACACCCTTATCTCAGGAAAAACATTT